CGCCACCCATGGGCACGTCGGCGGAGGCGGCAGCTGGCGGCGCAGCTGAGGCCATGGCGAAGGCCGCGACCTGCTCGAGGAGCTCCATGACGAGGGTCGCGGGGTCCTTGCCCGAGGTGCTAAGGGCGGTGACCTTCTCGAGCAGCTCCGCCGAGGGGGGCTGGGCCACGCCAGGGGAGGCCGAGGCGGCAGCCGCACGGGCCTCCTCGCGCGACTCGCGGAGGGCGCGAACGAGCGCCTGCTGGGCGTCCAGCTTGAGCAGGCGGTCCGCGAGGTCGGCCGCCATGCGCTGCTCCTTGCCCTCCTCCGCCTCGAGCTTCTTGCCGACGCGCTCGCGCTCAGCGGTGGCATCGCGGGCGGCGCAGAGGCCGTTGGCACGGGCAGCCCTCCTGGCCTCGACCTCGTCGACCTGCACCTGCGTAAAGAGCTCCTTGGCGGCCTCCCACTTCTCGGCAGACAGCTCGACCGCGCACTGGAGCTGCTTGTCGTCCACGCGCGGCGGGTGCCACGCGTTGGTGGTGGGGCGCTGGCCGTCGGCACCCCGAGCCCACGGCGCCGAGGGCTTCCGACCACCCTGGCCGCCGTTGCCCCCGCCCGAACCGCCGCCATTGCCGCCCGCGCCGCGGCGGCGACCCTGCGACCAGTAGCGCCAGGGCCGCCCCTGCTCGCAGAACGCGCACTTGGCCTGCCCCTGCGGGTTGAAGACACCGCACCCACCGCACTTCCAGAAAAACATCGCTGGCCAGATGTCCTGGAGCAAAACTGGGGGGAGCGAGACCACTCGGCAGCGCGCAGCTCGACCGAGGAAACAACTGCAGGGTATGGCCGCAGACTAGCGGTGTCCACGCCGCCTCGCGGGAGACGTGGCATCTTGAGCCAAAATGGCTACGGACGCACCGCTGCAGCCGTGCGCGGAACAGCGCCTGTGTACACCACAGCGCCTGCGTGCACCAGACCGTTGTCGTACACTACGGCACTTGCGCACATCACAGCGGTCGTGCGACCTACAGCGTTAATGTACACAACGCCTGCGTGCACCAAGGCGCTTGTGTACACCACAGCGCCTGTCCACACCACAGCGGTGCCACAGCAGCCGTGTTCGCCACGGCGACACGGCGCCTGCGTGCACAAAAAAAACCGGTGCACAATGCAATGCCCAGAAACACCACAGCAGCCACGAGCATCACAGCGCTTGTGTACACCAGAGTGCCTGCGTGCACCACTGCGCCTGTGTACATCACAACGCATGTGCACCACCCCGCCTGCGTGCGACTCGTGCAACATCGGCAACAGTTTGCCTCACACCACCTCAATGCCTGTGTGCACCATAATGCCTGTGCACCTTCGGAAGCATCCGTTCCTCGTCGGTTGTCGTCGTCGTCGTCGTCCTCCTCCTCCTCCTCCTCCTCCTCCTCCTCCTCCTCCTCCTCCTCCTCCTCACCTCCCCCCCTCTCTTCCTCCTCCTTATATTCGTTTGTAAAAACAACTCCTCCCTGTCGCACCCCGAGACGGGTCGGTCGGGCGGGCCTGGCGTTTCGCCCGAGACTTCACCAGCATCTGTGATCCCGAAGCCGAGAGTTTGCAGCAGCTTCACTGACGGAGGGCGGGCCGTTCTCAAAGCGTGGCTCTCGACTTCGCGACGCGTGCAGTCGTCGTCAGAGTTCGCAGGGGCTTCATGGACGGAGGGCGGGCCGTGTTCAAAATGTGGCTCTCGCCCTAGCGCCGCGCGCATTCGCCCGACAAGTTCGCGAGAGCTTCGCGGACGGAGGGCGGGCCGTGTTCACAGTGCGGTGCTCGCCTTAGGGGCCCGCGCGCATTCGCCCGAAAAGTTCGCGAGGGCTTCGCGGACGGAGGGCGGACCGTTTTCACAGTGTGGTTCTCGCCTCAGCGCCGCGCGCATTCGCCTTAAAGGTTCGCAGAGGCTTCGCGGCTGGAGGGCGGGCCGTTATCAAAGCGTGGCGCTGGCCCGATCGCGGCGCACGTTCGCCGCAACCGCTCACAGCAGTTTCAGAAGTTGTTATTGCTGACGCTCCAGAAAGGGTGTTCGGCACGGTTTAGGAGTGTCACGCCGCGGCAGTCACGTTGGTTTGCGATGTTGCACTCCGAGAAATTGTCTTATGGTGCTTCGGCGTGGTTGCATATCTATAGGCGATTGTCTTCCAACGGAGCACTTCCCGCAGTTGAAACACATCTTTGTGGGGAATTGCGAAAATGGGAATTGGAGAGAAGGTTTACTGCACCATCGTTAAAGAAGCTTGGGTTTACTCTGGTATCTCTCCTTGTCTTCATCCTCCTCCCTTCTCCTCCTGTCCTCCTCCTCATCTTGTTCCTGCTCCTCCTCTTCCTGCTCGTCCTCGTCCTCCTCCTCCTCACTCCACCTCGACTTCCAACGGATGGCTCTACGGAATCCGGTTACGACTCGTAGACTGTATGTTGCTATTGTTTCTGAGGGGGTCTCTACAAGGCCCCTTGAAAGCTGCAGGGATTGACGCCTGTGAATGGTTTCCAGGCGGGGTCGTTACTGGAGTGGGGGCCTGGGGGGTAACACGCGAGTTATCCCTGGAGCCTATCAAAGAACAGTCTCAAACCGACGTACCTCAGAGGCACGGGCTCGACAGCGAACGCGGGTGGACAGACGGGCCAGAAAACGAACGGACGAGGACGACATTGTGCGTATGTATGTTTAAACCGAGCAATTCCAATCGATTCGTCACCGCGCCGGTTCGGAGTAAAATCCCCCCGCCCAGGGCTCTCGAGGAGGTCTACGATAGTGAAATTCTTTTTCAGAGGCCGTGAGCATGTATAGACTTGAAGGATCCACGGGCCCGGTAAGGAACTGGAGTCAAACTTTCGAGTGTAAAGCGTGAGACATTTTCCGATTGCTGATCTGCAGCGGCGACCGCCTGCACGGCCTGCTCCTCCTGCTCCTCCTGCTCTTCCTGCTCCTCCTTGTCGTCCTCCTCCTGCTGTTCCTCCTCCTCCTCCTCCTCCTCCTCCTCCTCCTCCTCGTCCTCCTCCTCGTCCTCGTCCTCGTCTTCGTCCTCCTCCTCGTCCTCGTCCTCCTCCTCATACTCCTCCTCGTCCTTGTCGTCCTCCCCGTCCTCGTCCTCGTCCTCGTCCTCGTCCTCCTCCTCCTCCTCCTCCTCCTCCTCCTCCTCCTCCTCCTCCTCCTCCTCCTCCTCCTCCTCCTCCTCCTCCTCCTCCTCCTCCTCCTCCTCCTCCTCCTCTCCGCGCGCACGCGCCAGGCGCATGTTGCCCCCCCTTCCGCGCACGCATTTTCAGCGGGCGAGCAATTCTGCGCCAAGTTGGGTTCCTCGCTGGCGACCCGCGCACGCGCCAGGCGCATGTCGGCCCCCCCCCCTCCGTTGGGCCCACCCCTCCGCGTGCGGGCTTCTGCGTGCAACAAATTCGCCATCCCCCGAGCCGAGTCCCCCCAGGGGCCCCGTGGACACGTGAAAACGCGTGCCACGCGCGCGCGCGCGCCAAAGGCACGTTGCCCCCCCCCCCCCCCCCCTCCGCGAACGCCTGTTCGGCGGGCAGAGAGCTCTGCGCTCCCAGGTTGGGTCCCCCCTCGCTGGCGGCCCCGCCGTGGCCCGAAGCGCGTGAAAACACGTGCCCCGCGCGCACGCGCCAACCGCATGTTGCCCCCCCCCTCCGTTGCCCCCCTCCCCCCACCCCACTCCGCGCACGCGATTACACGTGCGAGCAATCCCCCCCCCCCCACCCTCAATTCCACGCAGGAAGAATTCTCCGCCCCCGAATTGGGTCTCCCCTGGGGCCCCGTGGATATGTGAAGTCACGTGCCCCCTGCGCACGCGCCAGGGGCAATTCCCCCCCCCGCGCACGTAATGATTACGTTTTCAGCAATTCGCCACCTACAAATTGAACATCTCGCTTGCGGCCCCGTCGTGGCCCGAAAAGTGTGAAAACACATGCTCCGCGCGCACGCGCCAGGCGCATGTCGGGCCCCCCCCTCAGTTTGGCCCGCGCTCTCCGCGCACGCAGTGGTACACGTAAAACATTGGGCAAACGCGAAAACACGTGAAAACACGTGCCCCGCGCACACGCGCTAGGGGCATGTTGTGCACCCCTCTCCGCACATGCATTTTTACTTGCCAAATACTCTCCGTCCCAACGTAGGGTCCCCCTTGGGCCCCCCTGGACACGTGAAAACACATGCTCCGCGCGCACGCGCCAGGCGCATGTTTGGCATCCCCTCCGTTTGGCCCGCGCTGTCCGCGCACGCAAGTGCACGCGCAAGAAAATTGGCCAAAACGTGCCACGCGCGCACGCGCCCTTTGGCATGTTGCCCCCCCCCTTTGCACAAGTATTTTAGTTGTAGCAGAATTCGCCACCCACCTGCAAGTTTGGTCCCTCGGCTGTCCACTTCCGGCGCAAGAACTCGGCGTCTGCCAGTTGGGTCCCTGGCTTGCGGCCCCGTCGTGACCCGAAACGCATGAAACACGTGCCGAACGCACGCGTGCCGAGACTCATGCTGGAGACCACCCTCCTCCGCACACGTATCTCTACGTGCCCACTTCCGGCGCAGGACTTCGGCCTCTGCCAGTTGGGTCCCTCGCTTGCGGCCCCATCGTGGCACGAACCGCGCGAATACACGTGCCGAACGCACGCTTGCCGATGCTCATGCTGGAGACCACCCCCCTCCGCACACGTATCTCTACGTGCCCATTTCTGGCGCAGGACTTCGGCACTTGCCAGTTGGGTCCCTCGCTTGCGGCCCCGTCGTGGCACGGATCGCGCGAATACACGTGCCGAACGCACGCGTGCCGATGCTCATGCTGGAGACCCCACCCCTCCGCACACGTATTTTCACGAGTCCATTTCCGTCGCCTCTGCTCGACACCCCTCTGGTGCAAGGCCTTTGGCCTGCAAACTGGCAGAGAGCCCTGGGCCCGAGCCCTTACCGGGAACCTGCGCAAACACATCCACTCTGCATTCTGAACCCCCAGACACAAAATTTGTGTAGCCCGCGAGCTGACCTGGGCACCGCGCCAGCCAAGTGCGTCGGCTGCGGCATGTGCAGCGCCGTCGCGGGCCAGCTTGCGCATCGCAGCCAGGACCTGGTCAGCAGGGTCATGGCTCGCCCGGATCGCGATCGCAGCGCCGCGAGCGGAAAACACCGATGGGTCCTCTGGCATGGCCCGCAAGTGGCAAGCATTCCCCGTCCGGCAGTAGCTCTGCAGCGCCTCCCAGGCTTGCTTCGTCGGCGCCAGAGACGGCTCCGCGTGCACCGAAGCCTGCAGGTCGGCAAGCGCCTCCGCGAAGACGCAGCGCTGAACGTGGGCGAGGCTGGGCCGGAAGCCCAGGGTGTCGAGCAAGTTGCCGCGCGCGACCCACGCGACCACACAACCCTTCGCCGCGCGCCGTGCGCCTGTCCAATCCCCGCGCCGTGTCAGCTCCAGCACGGCAGCATCGACCCGCGCCTTTCCATGGAGAGGACTGCGGCTGCTGTTGGTGCCAGTGTCTGGGGAGCCTGCCGCGGCCACGCTTCTCTTCTTTCCCTTGGCATTGCTCTTGCCCCCTCCTTTCCCCTTGGCCTTGGCCTTGAGGTCACTGGCAGCGACGATCCAGCCCTTCTCCTCGTAGAATTCAAGCAAGGAGGACCAATGCTCGCTGCCGCCGAGGGTTTCCTGGCGATGAGACGCTGATTGCTTGCAAGGCTCTGCTTGCTCTACTTGTACGGTGCTCAAGCTCTTGCATCACAGATCGTGCCGCCGTAAGCCGTGCCACTTCAGAGCGAACGCGTAGTATGGCTTTGTTTTGATCATGCCACTTGTGCATGATGCCTGCCGACTCACATTATCGTGCTGTGATAAAGGTGCAACGTTGGTGCGCCAAGTTTTACGTGTAAGACTCATGTGATGTACTCGCATGCGTGCTGGTATCGACTTGCTAAGTTCAACGCACAGATGCAGGCACTGGTCAACAATAGCAACAAGCGTGTGCGTGCGTGTACGACTGTCGTGCATGCGCGAATGTATGATCGTGAACTCTTGCCTTCCTCTCCTGCCTATTGAGACCGGCCTGGCCCCGCGTAGGGGTAGTCCTGTTCCCACAAATGCAGCCGAACTGTCGCATATCACGCCTTTCCGTGTCAAATGGAACACAGCTCACATGGTATGTATGACCCTCGGGGACCCAAGCAAGAGAAGTAACACATCTTACGGTCTTCTGGGCGGGCCTTCCCTGAAGAACAGAGCTGTCACATATTACGGCGTTTGCTGCCCAAGGGGGTCTGTAAACCTGTCCCATGTTATGACTCTCTACGCCCAATAACTTACCCTGGCGAAGGATGCAACCGAATGCAAGTGTGAGTACAGCAAGGCAGGTAGGACGAAGTAAGACTCCCTATGGGGCCACGAAGCGTGTGAGAGGTGTGCCGAAATAGGCGGGGAGCTGCATATGGACGCACCCACTGGGGCCTCGGTGGAGCTCCCTGTTGGGCCACGAGGCGTGCGAAGTGTGCCGAAATGGTCGGTGAGTCGCATGTGCACGCACCCACTGGGGCCTTCGGTGGAGCTCCAAAGGGACCGCGAAGCGTGCGAAGGGTGTGCCGCAATGGGCGGAGAGCCGCATGTGCACGCAACCACTGGGGCCTTCGGTGGAGTCCCAACGGGACCGCGAAACGTGCGAAGGGTGTGCCGCAGTGGGCGGAGAGCCGCATGTGCACGCACCCACTGGGGCCTTCGGTGGAGTCCCAACGGGACCGCGAAGCGTGTGAAGGGTGTGCCGAAATAGGCGGGGAGCGGGATGTGGACGCAACCACTGGGGCCGGTGGAGCTCCAAAGGGACCGCGAAGCGTGTGAGAGGTGTACCGCGGTGGGCGGGGAGCCGCATGTGGACGCACCCACTGTGGCCCTAGGTGGAACTCAATATGGAGCCGTACAGCTTGTGAGGGGTGCCGACATGGGCGAGGAGTCGCTCGTGGACGCACCCACTGGGACCTTGTGTGGAGCTCCACTTGGGTCCACGAAGCGTGAGGTGTGTGTGTGTGTGTGTGTGTGTCGAAATCGGCGCGGAGCCGCACGTGGACGCACCCGCTGGGGCCTTGGGTGGAGCTCCCCATGGAGCCACGGCATGCGTGGGCGGTGTGCCGGAAGGGGCACCACGAAACGTGTGCGGTGCCTGTCGACATGTGCGGGGAGCTGCACGCGGGCGCACCCACGGGGGCCCTCGGTGGAGCTCCGTCTGGGGCCGCGGAGCGTGGGAGGGGGTGTGCCGAAGTGGGCTGGGTGTCGCATGTGGGCGCAGCTGCTGGGGCCTCAAAGTGGAGCTCGGACGGGACCGCGAGAGAGAGGGCGCCGTGCACGTCAGAGGTGCACGTCAGACGGGACCGCGAAGCATGTGAAATGGGCAGGGAGCCGCCACTGGGGCCTTCGGTGGAGCTCCCTGCGGGGCCACGGAAGTGGTGAGGGGTGTGCCGGAGAGGGCGGTGAACCGCATGTGGACGCACCCTCTGGGGCTGTAGGTGGAACTCCCAATGGGGCCACGAAACGTGTGAGGCGTGTTCCGACATTGGCGTGGGGCCGCATGGGGACGCAGGTAGGGCTCCCTAATGGGCGGGGAGCCGCATATGGACGCACCCCATGTGGCCTTCGGTGGAGCTCCCTCAGCCACGATACGTGTGAGAGGTGTGCCGACATGTGTGGAGACCCACATGTGGACGCACGCGCTGGGGCCTTACATGGAGCTCCCTGTGAGACCGCGAAGCGTGTGAGGGGTGTGCCGGAATGGGCGGGGAGCCGCATGCGTACTCACCCAGTGGGGCCTTATGTGGAGCTCCCTGTGCAGCCATGAAAATCCAGGGGAATGGACACGTGTAGAACAGAGGGGAAGGAGGAGGAACGGGAGGACGGACGGACGCGGCGCTGCGGATTCAAAACGAGGACCCAACACCACATGATGGTTGCGAACACTAGATGTCACACGCAACGATGTGCAATGTATACATATATATGTGTGTGTGGTGCACTCTGCGATCTGCGATGATGTGGCAGTGCATACATGCCACGCCATACATCGCCATGCCGCGCTATGCAATGCTGTGCTTTGCCGTGCAAGGTTGTGGTTTTGCTGTGCAATGCTGTGGTATGGGAATGCGCTCTGGTGTGCCACGGTGTGCGCTGCTATGCCATGCCATCTAGCGCAACGCTATTTAATGCAATGGTGCAGTGGGAAAAATCGTCGGGGTACCGAGACTGGGGAGAGCGGGGGATGTTAACGGAACCAGCGAGGGAATTCTTCAATGATCTGGGGGTGGCTTCCCATGGAGCCTGACCTCAGGTGCTCATCTCCACCAACAAACCTCGTGCCCGCAAGAATTGAAGCACTTCCAGAAAAAACGTAATAGATCAATTAACAAGCGATTGTTCGCAGGCGCGCTGTGATTGTCAGGTAGTGGCGTTTGGTGTAGACGCGGCTCCTCAGCTCTGGATCGGGGCTATGACGTGTATTCGAGTCTACTGTTATGATGACGATCGTAGCTGTGCGTATCTCTCTATGTGCATATATATATATATATATTTGTGTGTGTGCGTGTGAATGCGTGTACCTGTGAAAAGGGCACGCATGTAGCATACAGTGCCAGACACATGTATGTACGCATGCATGCAATCATGTATGTATACATGCATGCATGCATGTATGTATATATGTATGTGAGTATGTATGTATGTCTAAGTGTACATGTGTATACATATATGTATGTATGTATGCATGTCTACATGGATGCATCTGTGCATATATGTACGTATGTATGTATGCATACATGTATGGTTGTATATGCGTATGCATGTGTGTATGTATGTATGTTTGCATGTGTGCATGAATGCATGCATGCATGTATGTATGTATGTGTGTATGGATGCATGCATGTATGTATGTAGTGTGTAAGTATGTAGCTACGCACGTAAGCACATATGTATGCATGTAGGCACGTATGTCTGCATTGATGTATGTATGTCTGTGAACGTGTATGTTGGCATGCGTGTATGTATGCATGTGTGTGAGCATGTGTGTGTGTCCTGCATGGTGGCACAATGCGCTACAACGGTACCCCCATTAAGGTAGCCCTCCGCCAGCGCAGTTACTCTGCCTAGCAGCCGACGCAAACATGTGCGCGTGAATGTGTGTGTGCTTGTGTGTGCTCGTGTGTGCTCGCAGCGGTCTCGCCCGGACGCGCCTGCGGATTGCTTCTGCCGCGCTGCGACGTACACAACTGTGTGCGTGTGTGCGTGTGTGCGTGTGCGTGTGCCTGTGTGCGTGTGCCTATGCGTGTGTGCGTGTGTGCGTGTGTGCGTGTGCGTGTGCCTGTGTGCGTGTGCCTATGCATGTGTGTGTTGTGTGTGTTGTGTGTGCGCGCGTGTGTGTGTGTGCGTGTGTGTGTGTGTGTGCGTGTGTGTGTGTGCCTGTGTGTGCGTGTGTGTGTGTGCGTATTTGCGCATGTGTGTGTGCGCGTGTGTGTGTGTGTGTGTGTGTGTGTGTGCGTGCCTGTGTGTGTGCGCGTGTGCGCGCAGGCAAAACCTCTCGACGCCGGCGCAGCTCGCGGGGGCGAGAGCGGGAAGAAGCCGAGCGGCGGGGCTCCGGGAAGGGCCCCGGATCGGGCGGATCTCGGGCCGTGTTTTCCCCACGAAAGCGCAGACCGCGGCATCTTCAGATGGATTCGCATCGGCTGTAATTGCTGAGATCTCACATTCTTGCAGAGAGGGGGGCCGGCGGCGATGTGCGAAGCCCTTCTGGATCTCTCTCTCTCTCTCTCTCTCTATATATATATATATGTATACGTATACATATATTTACATGTACATACATATACACAAACATGCATATCTCTATATAGTTATATATACACATATGTGTATGTATGTTTGTAAATATATACACTCATATCCGCCGGCCCCCTCCGGGGGCGCAAGGCTGCGAAGATGTGTGCGGCCTGCTGTCATGTGTTATGTGCTGTCATTTGTTGTTTGGCCTTATGTCTCTCCAGTCCTGTTTCCTGCCTTCTGTTTATTGCCTGATAAGGGGCCCCGCCGCGCCACCAAGCAGCCAACCGGGGGGCGTGAACCTCATATCCAGGCTACTCCGGGCCACCCGAGGATTCTCATGGTGACGACACCGCGGGGCCAGAACGGCCCGAGAGGCCTCCAATATTGCCCGACGAGGCTCCGCAGGGAGCCTCAGGAGGCCATGACGGCCCAAGATGGCCCCAAGATGTCACACGATGGCCCCAAGACGGCCCAAGATGCTCCCAAGACGGCCCCCGAGGCCTCCGAGAGGCCTCCCAAGAGGGCCCCACGAAGCAACAATCAAATCTTGTCCTACCGTTTTTGAAGGTTTTTGGCCTTCTCGCCTTTTCGGCTTTCCGACGCTCCGAGACGAACCAAGAGGTTCCCAAGATCGCCCCAACGACGGCCCTAGAAGCCTTCATGACGGCCTAAGAGGCCCCAAGACGGCCCGAAGACGGCCGAAGAGGGCCCCAAGACGGACGGTCCAAGAGGCGCCCCAGACGGCCCAAAAGGGCCCTAAGACGGTCCCCAGAGCGGCCCAAGAGGGAGTCCACGAACCGAAAACTCGAACTTTCCGCCCCGAGATGGCCCAAGGAGGCCCCAACAAGGTCCCCAAGAGGCCTCAAGAGGCCCCCAAGAGGCCCCCAAGGAGACACCCAAGGAGACACTCAAGAAACCCAACATGTTTCCAAGAGGCCACGAGGAGACCCCCAAAAGGCCCCAAGGAGACCCCCAAGAGGCCCCCAAGAAGCCCCAAGGAGACCCCAAGAGGCCCCAACGATGCCCCAGCGCAGCCGCCCGCGATTGTAAAAAGGAGGCCGGCGGCAGAGGGGGAAGCCCGGTTATACATTTGCATATGCACATACGTATACCTGTACATATACACTTACATTCACATATTCATATACATATGCATTTACATAGAGATCTACATTTACATATACATGCATGCATAGGGGGCACACTGAACACACGAGTCCATTTGCCTGAACCTTGCCATCTCTCCAGGAGCCAGTTCTTGCATCCGCCGGCTTCCGCCGGCCTTCCTCCGGCGGAGGCGGCCTCGTTTTACGTCTGCCGCCTTCCCCCAGCCTTCTGCCGCCGTCCGCCGAAGAAGAGACTGCAAACCCTTCGATCCTCGAAGACGAGGCCCTTACTTCAACGCCTCATCTATATGTGTACATATACACATGTACACGTGCATACATACATACATAAGTTCATGCAGAAATGCAGACATACCGACATACTGACATACCGGCATACCGGCAGACCGACATACAGACATACTGACATACAGACATATACAGACATACAGACATGCTGACATACAGGCGTACAGGCATACAGACAAATAGGCATACAGACATGCAGGCATAAAGACACTCAGACATGCAGACAGACATACAAACATACATACACACAACGACCGACGGGTACAGGTAACAGCACTGCTCACAGGCACGCAGGTATGCCCACAAACATATACAGGAGCGATCGTAGACACGAGCACACAATTGCACACATCAATGGCGGCACTCACGCCGCAGGGGGCATCGGAACTACTTCGCGCTCCAATCTGTACTCCCTCCGCCCGCCCCAAACCCCCCCACATCCCCCCTTCGCGAAACGAGCACTAAACGCTCACTGTCGTGCCGCTGCGAACTTGCGGTTTACCCTCTCTCTCTCTCTCTCTCTCTCCTTGTTGCCGAAGATCCACAAAAAGTGCTTGGGCCTCGTTACGGCAACGTTGAGGCGCTGCGCGTCGCCAACAAATCCGATGTGCTGCTTCGAGTTCGAGCGCACGGGAGAAACAAGAATCGCATCGCGCTCGTCACCCTGGAAGCCGTCGACGGAGCTGACTTGAACGTCCGTGAGGTCAGCGTCCGCCAAGCGCCACTGCACCTCCTTCACCTGGCTCAGGTAGGGCGTGATCACGCCGATACTCAAGCTTGGGTGCAGGGCGCGAAGCAACCTCGCCTGTTCAACAACCAGGGCGGCCTCGTCTTCGTTCAGCCACGAGTGGCCACTTCTTTGCTCGACGCCACTGACATGCACGAAACGAGCCGGGCCCAACAGCGGTGGTGCTTGGAGCTCGTCCCGAGCGATGACCGATGGCCCGGTGCGAAGCTGTATACCGTCGAGGCGGTAGAAATGGTTCGCTGGCCAAGCAACGACGTCTCTGTGCATGCGGTACTGGATCTCGAGGACCTCGGGGCGCTCACCAATGGAGACCAATCTCTGGAACATCCCCCGACCATACGAAGCGTGCTCCGCGGCGCGCGAGAGCACCAACGCAGGGAGCTGGCGCGGGTCGCCAACAAGCACGAGGCGCTGAATGCTGGAGCGGAGGGGCACAATCGTGACGGCCTCCGCAAGCTGACAGGCCTCGTCGATGAGCACTGTCTGCACCCACTGCCTCTGCACGGCACCACGACCTGCGACCGCCGCGGTACAGAAAATGAGCTCGCACCGCCGGAGCAGCGCGTCCTGCAGGTCCATCGGCTTGACGCTGGCGGCGTCACGCGCAGCCTCGCGAAGTGCTCTGAGGACGGCCGTTGCCTTCTCCACATCACTGCTGCACTTGCCCTTGGGACCAGCCGCGGCCGAGCCCTTGCTACCCGGACCGAACGGCGCCCTGCCCTTGCCCGACCTGCCCAGGCTGCCGCAGCCCCAGCCGAGGCCCCCCTTGTAGCCGTTGCAAGTGGGACGGCGGACGAAGCCCTGCAGCCACTCGTACAGCTTCTCCGGGTTTGCGACTGCCTCTGCCCACGTCCGGGGGACGTTCGCCTCCAGACGGCGGTGCAGGAGGCTCAGCTCCTCGGGGAGCTGCGAGCTCTGAAGCTGGTCCCGGAGCCTGCCGAATTGGCCCATGGCCTCCTCCTCGCGCTGCTCGATCGCCGACGCCGCCGGGCTCGGCTCCCGGTTTGGATCTAGGTAGACTCCAGAATCTTCTGGCGGCAGAAGGAGGAGCTGGGAGCGCCACCGCTCGAGAGTCTTCTGGAAGTGGCGCAGCTCGCTACGAACTTGGGCGGCATGCGCAAACAGCTTCGAGCCCCAGTCCTCCCGACGCTGCGCACGCCTGGCACGGCGCTCCTCACCCGCGGACTTCCCCTTGACCTTGCCCTTCCCCAGCTTGCCCCTGCCCTTTGCCTTCCCCGGGGCGTACTCATCGTCGGAGTCTGGTGGTTGCCTCGCTGGCGCCTGCAACCAGTTATCGACGGTCCATGCAACATCGGCTGCGAGCTCGTGCAACTGAGCTACGCGGTGGTCCGCTAGTACGCACGCCAAGTCGTGATCCCGGGCCACCTCAGCAGTAAGCGGGTGGGCCACGTAGCCGATGCGCCAGGCAGCAACATGCTCAAGAACTCGACTGAGCAACTCCTGAACCGCGGTATTGGTCGGGGCCACCACGAGGCACCGCTGCCGTACCGCCACGCACCGGTCAAGGAGCACGGAGAGTGTCTTTGTCTTGCCCGTGCCTGGCGGGCCCTGGATGAGCACCACCCCTTCTTTTCTTCGCAGGGTCGTCAGCACAGAACCTATCTGTGGCTGGTTGAGGCTGGACCTCTGCAAGGCCGCCTCGTGCTGACGAATGTCACTGACTAGTGCCTGCTGTGTCCCATGGGCTCGGAGGGAAATCTTTTGCGTGTCTGCACCCGCAATGGAGGGCCAGAACACCGGGCAATGCTGGCTCGGTGATTCCATCGCTCGGCAAATGCGGAGTTCCGTCAGGATGCAAGTAACGAAACCAGCCTTTACCTCGACTGATTGCTCCGCTTGCTGAACGAGTGACTGCAGGACAGGCAGCTTCCTGGTACGTAGGTAGAGAGACCCTTCCTGATTTGAGCCCTGAGGGGCGACTATACCAAATTGACATGCCATGCCTGGTATCCGCAGGTGCAAGACAGAGAAAGGGAGCCAATCCTTCAGATTCGACAGAGTCACTCCGTTTGCATCAATCTTGAAGACGTCGCCATCTTCATGGTTGATCGCCTGGTCCTCGATATCGTCGCGTTCCTCGTCGCGAACTCCTGAAAGCCACGCCTTCCTGTACACGATCGGCTCCTTCGCCTTGCCCTCCGCATCGTCGGAGCAACGGCCCAAAATCTGCTCCTCCACTTCTGCAAGGAGGGGCCCGCCGAAGCTTGTGGTCCAGGCCTCCAACGTTGGAAACACAGCAGGGATCTTGGCCAATGTGGAAATGCCGAACCGCCTTGCTGGCCGCTCTCGCAAGTCCAGGTCTGGAGCAGCTTTCCGGCCCTTTGTTGGCTTGCGCTTCTCTGGGGGGTCCAGCCCGCAGATGGCCCTGGCGAGAGTGGCCTCGGAGATACGGATGCTTTGCCCAGACAGGACGTCAGGCAGGATCAGCGTGAGTGGCTGGCTCGTCGCAGGTGGGGGGAGCTCGAGGTTCATCCTTGCGCACTGGGCCGCCGCAGCGGCGTAGCCGCGCCCGGGCACATCTTCACCGCTCGGCCAGAACCTCGTGGCCGCAGCAGACTCGCCGACAACGCAACCCGTGGTGTTGACAACGGCCCGCATGCCGAGGAAGTGGCCCGTGCTGAACTTGCTCCACCACTTCCACCTGAGCGCAGCCGCCTCGTCTGCGAGCTGGAAGCACAGCTTTTTCAGCCTCTGGGGTGCGCGCTGGCATGCGAGGCGGAATGCGGCCAGCCTGCGGTTCCCGAGTGTATACGGCCTCCCTTGGAAGTAGACGACGCGCATGTCCTTCGCCAGTTGGTAGCAGAGCTCTTCATCTTCCACCAGCTCGGCCACGGTATCCTCCAGACGCCGCCCGTCCGAAAACTTGCAGCTGATCGTGTTGTGCGAAAAGCCCACCTCATGAGGGTCCAGCTCCACAAACCACCCATCCCTGTCTGGAGCCCAGCCTTCACCGTCCGGCCTGCGCCGCAGTTCGGGCGGCGCCTCCGTGAAGACTTGATCCTCCCCGGGCAGCCTGGCCGCCTCCTCCTCCTCGGCGAGGCCGTCGTGCAGGAGAGACGGCATGAACGCCAGCGGGGCCCGTGCCCGCAGAACTGGGCGCAGGGCGTCCAGCGAGCTCCGCGGGGTCGTCAGCTGAAGCTCTCCGAGCGCTGCGGAGGCCTGCCCCAGCAGCCTGTCCAGGCGCTGCAGCCCGCGCACCGCGATGCCTGCCTCCAGCCTGGAGTCCTTCAGCAGGGCGTCGAAGTCCTCCGGGCTGCCAAGAGAGCCCTCGTCCACGGCGGCCACTCGAAGGGAACGGCATGGAAGGGAAAGTGGCTTGGAGATGCAAGGGTCAGGATGTCAGCCAGCGTTGACTCCGAATCGATTAGACGACTCAAATCACGGAATCAGAGGAATCGAGCCTGCTTGGAATCCACAACTCAGCAAGCAAGCGCGCAAGCGTGCAAGCAAGCGTGCAAGCAAGCGTGCAAGCAAGCGTGCAAGCAACAAGCAAGCGTGCAAGCAAGCGTGCAAGCAAGCAAGCAAGCAAACGAGCGCGCAATCAAGCAAGCAAGCATACATAAGGAGGGGGGGGGCATTGGAAAAAAAGGGGGGGATGGGCATAGGCATGGGCAGAGCCATAGGAATTCGTGGGGGAGCACAGGAATTAAGAGGGGGGGCAGGGCAACGGACCAAGCCGTAGGGTTCGAGCTCGGACTCCTAGAGGGCAAGCCTATTTGGGATAATAAAGCATTGAAAATGAGAGGGGGCCTGCTATCAGCCAGCGTGGAACCCCAAAAGTGAGTTCTTGCCCAGTGGGGTGAAGGATATGTTGTGCCAGCTATGCGATGTAAGCTATGTTGTGCCGGCTATGCGATGCAAGCTATGTTGTGCAGGCTTTCATGTGTGGGCTATGTGATGCAGGCTATGCTGTGTAAGCCATGTGAGTTGAGCCATGCTATGAAAATAAGCTAGATGGTGTGTAATGTGTACGTTGTGTGGTGTATGCTATGTCGTGTAAGTTATGTGCTACGAGCTACATGGTGTGAGCCATGTTGTGTAACACATGGGGTGTGAGCTACGTGATGGGAGCCATGTTGCACATGCTGCGTGGTTTAGCTCATGCTGTGTGAGCTGCGTGATGTAAATCATGCGTCGCAAGCCGAGCGGTGCACGCTACCATATGTTGTGCAAGTTACTGCAGGTTCGTGTCGTGTCGACCCTGGCGTTGGTTCCCGACACCGCGCTGGATCGTTCAACCTTGAACGATCGGCCGTCTCCGCAACGTCCGATCGTTCAACATCGACCGATTCTGGGCCGCCGTCGGCGTTCAACGTTGAACGTCGGCGGCGGGGTCGCCGCTGGTCGACACGACGCGAACCTACCGTATGAGGTACAAGCGCACGGGGCGCCCACGTGGCGCCCACACGGCGCCCACGGGCGGGAACCGGGCGAAACCTCCGGAAACCCACCCGAGCGCGGGGCGCCCACGAGGCGCCCAGGGGGTGCCCAGGAGTGAAGGGGCCCCAGGACAAACAAATAAATACACACAAGTCAAATTATTCCCCATATTTTCCCATATTTTCTTGGTTTTTGTCTTCCCGCCCAATTCCCATATTTTCTTATATTTTCTGGGAAATCGACGATTAATTGTGTCTGTGTGTTTTTTTCCCTCCTGACAGGAGGTGCACCCACCCACCGGGCGCCCGCTCAAGACCCGGCAGACCCCGGGAACCCATCCAGCTCCTGGAGTAAACCGGATACGGCAGGTTCGCGTCGTGTCGACCCCAGCGACGGTTTCTGTCACCTCGGGGATCGTTCCACCTTGAACGATCGGCCCTTTCCGAGACGTGCGATCCTTCAGCATCGACCGATTCTGGGTCGCCGGCGGCGTTCAACCTTGAACGCCCACGCTGGGGTCGCCGCCGGTCGACACGACACGAACCTGCCGTAAGAACCCCTGAGTGCGAGCACCGTTTGGGAGGCTTCCAGGCGCCTCTGGGCCGGAGCGCGGCGAGTATCCTCGGGACAGCCCCACAGGCGGCAACGACCGACAACGAGCTGCAACGGGCCGGACCGCGGCGAATCCTCGGGACACCCCCACAGGCGGCGACGACCGGCAACGAGCTGCCACGGGCCGGAACGTGGCGAAGCCTCATGAAATAAGCCGGAACGTGGCGAGTTCTCGAAACACCCATGAGATGTCTCAGAAACCAAGACGGAACCCCCAAGTGCAAGCACTGTTTGGGGAAATTGGTGGTCGGGAAGGTTTTGGGACGCTAGTTTCAATGGGTTTACTGTGGGAGGGGGTGGCGTAGCGGTGAAGTCCGTGGACTTCTCCAACCATCGCTGGACTGCACCCGCGAAGCCGCGCGCCAACCGGAAGCCTCGCCAAGCAATGTTGTGACGGTTGTAGACTTCTTGAAGGCGATTAATCTTCTCGTCGACAAGGTCAAGGACCGCCGTCATGGCATGTCCATCATTGATCTGATGGCTCTCTTCAATCGTGAACGCGGCAAGCATGCCCACAAGCTTGTGGACTGGCAAGGCGTGCACCTCCTGGTCATAGAGCACCTCCACCAAGAGCAGCCCGTTCCCTATATCCAGCACGGATGCAGCTCGACCTTTGCGGGTTCGAGACCGACCATTCGAAGACAGCAGGTTGCATTCCCACAGGAGGGCGTACATGTTCGAGACGTCGTCGATGAGATGCCCCCCGCCGCCCTGGAAGGTGAGCAGGGTCTGCGAGCAGAGCCAGTCCATCCACGTGCGGGTACAGTGGCCAGTGGACTCGAGCACTGTGCTCGGGGAAACGCGGAACGCACTCTCCAGTGGCTCGGGCGGGCTGCACATGACGCGCCTGACATGCTCGGCGTCAACGCGGGTGTCGAGGTATACGATGGCGTGGCCAGTTTCATCATGACCTCGGCGTCCTGCACGTCCACTCATCTGGCAGTACTCCTTGGCTTGCATGGGGCGCTTTCCATTGCCGTCGAACTTTACGAGGGGAAAGCCAGGCCTGAAGTGGAAGAAGCAAGCGCGGCCAGGCACATTCATACCCAGGCCAAACGTCTCGGTCGCGAAGAGCACAACGAGCAAGCCTTCCTGGGCGAGAATCTCCGTCACCTCGCGGGCAATGGGCAAGAGGCCGCGGTGGTGGAGACCGATGCCGGCGAACCAGTATTGCATTACCTCTTTCATTTGAGGTAAGTCCACAGCCACCCTGTGCCTCCGCAGAAGGTGATCGACTCGCCGTTCGACGACACACCGGTGATCCGAGCTCACCAATATGTTGCTAGAGCCCCAGGTGTATCCGCCACCGTGCCCTCCTGGCACGCAGTGGCATCGCACGATGCTTCTGTGCTCACTGGCCGTGCTTCTGTGGCTCAGCCCCCCTTTCCTTCACTCGGGGGCGCGCAAGCATGGATTAGCGATCCATGGGTTTGGCGCGCGGTCGCCAAATCCATGGATCGGGGGAGGTACCCTCTCCAACATGCGGCAAGTGCGGCGTCGTTCGGCGGCGGAAATCCGCGATTTCCCATGGAAACGGGACCCGTCGATACTCCACGCCCCCTTTAATCCATGTTTGCGATCGCCTGATTGGTGCCGCCCAGCCGCGAGCCGCAGCCCCCCCCCGATCCCACCCCCCAGGCGCCTTCCCAGCGGTCCCAACGGCCCAGGGAGCGGCAAAGGCGCTCCCACGACGTCCAAGACGGCCCCAGGATGGCCCAAGACGTGGCCCAAAGGCCACCTGCCTCATATACCCCAAAGAGAGCTCAAGACGGACCCCCCAAAAGTCCACCCGAACCGCTCATGAGGCTCGTAGAATCTTCGACGAAGCCCTCAAGGATGCGACTGGGTCGCAAATCAATCCAGCACCTTGCGATTGTTTCACAACGTGCCACTAACTCCTAACTGGCTTTGCTCGAAGACTCCTGACTTACATTGTGCAGGAAGCCATGCCGAATAAGGGCTCTTGGGAACAATACTCCTGTCTCCTTCGGCCACACTTCTCTGGTTCCTCGGGGAAGCCGACTGCTTGTCTTGAACCGTGTCCGTGGATCACTTCAGACCTATTACGCCAATGCGTTTCGCATGTCCTTCTCTTGTTTTGACATAGCCCGCGCATTGTCTTCATAATGCATGCTTGATTTGTTGTCATATTGACCGTGGCTTGCCCTGAGCTGGCTTGCTGCTTGCATGTAGCTTCGATTCGGGTTGCTGTTAGCTCGCCAAGATCATATCGCCCGCAGTTTCTCAGTACTGTGTTACCTCTAGCTTACGTTTGACTCGTTTGGGATTGAGTTTAGCCTTCTTCTCGCTCGCGTTAGTATTACCAGGCAGCTGGCCTTTAGCTTTCCTGTTGCTTGCCTGCGCACTACCATGGCGTAGATGATGACGATGATGACGATGATGATGATAGTGCTGAATGTGATGATGCTAATTATGATGATGAATATGATGATGATGATGATGATGATGATGATGATGATGATGATGATGATCATGCTGATGATGACGATGGTGATGATGATGATGTTGATGATGATGGTATGAAGACGACATGATGATGATGGTCATGACGATAATGATGAGGATAAAGGTGATGATGCTGATGCTGAAGCTGATGACGATGATGGTGATGGTGACGATGATGAGGAGGATGCTGGAGATGTTGATGGCGTTGGTGATGAAGACGGTGATGACGATGCTGATGTTGACGACGGTGGTGGTGAGAATGGTGATGATGAGGATGGTGTTGTTGATGATGACGCTGCTAATGACGCTGATGGTGATGATGGTGATCAGATCGATGACATCATGTTCATGTTGTCGCCTCTTCTAGGCGCACACGCGCAGCATTGAAGTTCGATGATGGTAGCACCATACTGTTCAGGAAGTAACACTTTCTCCGCACCGCACAAGTATCCTTTGGAATGAGGAGTGGAATATCTGAAGACCGTGGCTCTCTGTTCCAGTAAAGCGCAGGGAAATCGACTCGCCCGCCCTTGAGGTAGCATTGGCCACGGGGCGGTATTCGTAATGGTGGGGGCGATTAACGATGCACGACAAGCGTTGTGCGACAACATGTTTGCAACCATGTGGGCCTGGGAGGGCGAGCTTTCACATGCTACGGCCACTCGGGCCATATGACAACCAACTGTCGCGTGTCAAGCGTGGCCCCCTCGCGACTGGGGAAACGAGCTGTGGGAGAAGAAAAAACCCGCATAACTATAAACTTTTGGCGCTCCGCGCGGATTTCTTGGATCTGCGCTGGGCCCCCTCCCTGGCGCGCGGAGCGCGCCAGGGGCGGCGCCGGAGGCGCCGCTAGGGGGGCCCAGCGCGGATCCGAGAAATCCGTGCGGAGCGCCAAAAGTTTATGTTTACGTGGCTTCGTCTTATTCGAAGCTGCTGCATGTTGCGGCTCCCGGAGGTCTGGGGGAGACGAAGTGTCACGTACGACGGCTCTTGGGGCCCCGAGGGCATGCCATACGGCCTTCTGGGTGGCCCTCAGAGGGTCTCCACGCAGAGCCCACGCAGAGCGCCGTGCTCGCACGACGTGCGGAGCTTGCCCCGCAGGCGCCCGGATGTCATCTCTGCCAGCTGGCGGCAGAAGCTCCGCCCGACGGAGAAGACGATCAGCGGGCGGAACTCGCTGCCCTTGGCGAGCAGCGCCTGCAGCTTGCTCGCGGCCTGAGGGGGTCGAGAGCGGGGTGCTGGCCTCAGGGGGGGGGACGCCGGCCTGGAGTGGACCACACGTCGACGACATATAGATTATCAGGATTCGTAGTATTGTTCTCATCGGTATCATCACTCTGATTATCAAGATCAATCTCGCTATTATGCATGTATTGTTATTCGTAACAATGTTATTACTGATATTAGTACCAGTAGTGTTATCAGTATTATTCGTATTAACAATACTATTATTAATAATAGTACTATCATTATTATTATTATTATTATTATTATTATTATTGATATTCTGATTACTAGTAGTAGTAGTAGTAGTAGTAGTAGTAGTAGTAGTAGTAGTAGTAGTAGTAGTAGTAGTCGTCCTATTGTTGTGTACGTGTGTGTATATATATACACTAGAACCATCGCGCGCGCTTCGCGCGCGCTCAAGTTCTAGCTAGGCTTGATCAGTCAACTCATGAAATCTCGTTTTGGTCGCTTCTTGCGTCCAGGGGCTCCCTTGGAGGCCCTGCGCAAGCCTCGGAATCGCATAGAAGGGGAAATGCGGAAACGCAACAAACATTAATTTCCTTTGGGTATTTAACGATTTGGGGCTCTCAACGGCTTCCTGGGTTTTTCTTTGGGAGGTGAGGGGGTCTGAATTGTGGTCTGTTGTGCAAGAATAGACCGGGGCCAAACTTGAAACAAAAAAAGAAGGAATTGTTGGATTTCCATGAATTTCCATTTCCTTGGCGCTGTTCGGCGCTGTTCTTTGGTTGTGCCTCGCGGGTTTTGTTAGCCGGGCCCCTCAGGGGTGTGGGATCTTCCGGACCCCCTGGGGGTTCTGGAGGCCTCCTGGAGGCCTGGAGAGCCGTCGGAAGGGTGTCTCGGGCTGCGCGGGAGCGTGTTGGGCCGTTCGTTACGTTCTGGGGGCTCCTTGGTGTCGTCTTGGGCTGTCCTTGGGCGTCTTGGGGGCCCCCCGGGAAGCCGGGAGGCGCGGTACCGGCCAGATGTCAGGGGATGTGTGGGATCTCCTAGTCGGAGTCCCACTTTTTTTTTTGTTTAAAAAAGGAATTCTGGGAATTCCTCCTCCTCCTCCTCCTCCTCCTCCTCTCCTCTCCTCCTTCTCCTGTTTCCTGTGTTCCCTTCTCCTCTTCTCTCGTGCCGTCTGGTTCCTGATTCCTGCCTCGCGGTCTTGTCTGTTGGGTGGGCGTGCCTAGCCCAGACTCTGCATTCAGCTAGATTTATAAAGATTACACTAGCGCCCCAAATCGTAACGAAACGTTAACGAAATTGGCGTTATGCGCGAAGCGTTTGTACTCCGACGCTGATCATGTTTCGCTAGCGCTAAAGAAAACTACGTTATACGTATGTACGTTTTCGCTATAGTTATCGTTCTCACGATGGCCGTATATATATATATATATACAATTCTATATAAACATGCATATCTCTAGTTAATACATATGTATATATACACACGCACGCACACGGAGGAGGAGAGAGGGGAGGACAAGGAGGACGAGGGGAAGGAAGACGCGTGGGAGGACGAGGGGGAGGAGGGGGAGGAGGAGGAGGGGGTTGTGATGATGATGATGATGGTGATGATGATGACGATGATGATGATGATGATGACAATGATGATGATTTTTTACAACCTCAGTTCCACGCACCAGTAGCTCAGGTACTTGAAAAGGACGCTGCGCTGAACGCGCTTGTGATATGGGCCCGCGCATGTACGTTTGTAGATGCGAACAACTACGCCCATCATGCTCTCCTCTGAATAACATTGAAGAAACCGACTGTTAATGAGCTTGCACTGCTGTGGAATGTGTTGGGCGTAGTGCGCCTTGGGGCGCACAGGGAACGCATTCACGCCTGCGTGCGCCGAAAACTGGCGGCACTGCATGTGGAAAACGCCCATACTGAGAACAGCGCCTTCCAATTCAGATTTCTGGTCTGATGTCAGAAACGCAGAGGCGCTGTACAGTACATTGTACACCTCATTGATTGCCGAGATGAACCCCCTCATTGCTATATGAAGGCCATCGCAGGGGTCGCCAAAATATTGTTTCGAAAGCTCCACCAATGCAGGCACCAAACAACGCGTGTTAGCAGCTTTGATTAAGGTTCCCCCTAGCTCGTCCCAGCCGTCCACGGTAAGGTCTTTAAGTCGCAACTCTGGTATTATAGATGTCACGTTATGGTTGCCCTGATGCACCTTAATGAAACTGCTTATGTTGCTAAGGCGCTCTAGTTGGTTGGCCCCCAAGCGGCGCTCTGACCGTACGAGACGCATCAGTATACCTCCCGCAGCAACAGCCGTCAACCCATGGTGATCCATGACGTGCATCACATCGTATCTGAAGAAATACTTGTTGAAATACATTGAATCACGCAAAGGATGGCCACTGCTCGTTCGGCCAATGTATGTCGCATTGTCGACGTTCACGGAGGCCCTCCAAGGTGCATCATGACGTAGATGGCTTTTCGTCACGGTCGCAATCGCACCCCGAACACACCGAAACAGAGGCATTGTATGACCTGTGTCCCCACCTCATCAATTGCCCCATGTCGCCCTTGCCGAACAAAAGCGCGAACTTCCAAATGGTGCCGTCTGGGTCCTCTGCGGCGGGTTCCCCGTCCAGGTGTTGGCCACGAGCTAACATATCGAACGATGTGAACAGTGACGCCCACGCAGGGGCGGCAGAATTGATCGCCTGGCCTTTGATCTTGATCTCGGCATGGTGGACAATATTGCACTCGATCTCCTTGCCTTGGCCGAGCACCGACGACCAAGACACAACTGACGTTGAGAGCCGTTTACTGTGCGGGGCTGCATCTTCGCGTATTGTGCACGGGACGGTCCATTTCAAGTCCTCTGGAGTTTTGCCCATCAAATGCGGGCGCAGCGAGCGCAACCCTCGCCCATCCCGCGTGGCAAATAATTGTTCCCAGAAACGACGGATCGCAGCAGTGGCGCCGAACACGCGCTGGAATTTGTAGCGGTCGTGCTTGTGTAGGATACTGACCATATTAGCTGGGGGGGATGACTTGGGAAACAGAGCTGTCCAGAACACCGAGCGTCATTTTGTCGAATCCCAAAGTGCGGCCCACTAACTTGATCAAGCCAGCGTGCGCATTCTGATCACCCTCGTGGCGGGCGATCGCGTGCATCCGCCGCAAGCCAGGGTGGTCGAAGCCATCGCGCAGCAGCGTGTCCACGTGGAGCCACGTGAGGGGAGCGGAAGCAATGCCAGAGCCCCAATTTTTGAGATACAACAAACAACTTTCACAAGTCTCTCGGCGCGGGCTGAGCGTTCTCGCTTCGATGGCCGCAGTCTCCTCAGCGAGGCTTCGCTGGCGCCATCCACCACCCCGCTTACTCGATGAGTGGTCCTGCAGCGGGGCGAAAAGCGGCGCGAATAGCGAAGCCATAAAACGGCTGCGGATGAGATGAGGGGGGAGGGGCGAGGCAAGCATAAGCCCTGCCAAAAAGGCGAGCCAGGGCGAGTTGCAGCCCTGCCGAGAAGGCGAGCTGCAGCCCTGCCGAGAAGGCGAGCCATGGCCGTGCAATTTGCGCCGGGTAGCGGTATGGATTGTGAGCGACGCAAGTAGTGCTTGCGATAATGATGGTGGCAACGTCGAAGCATGCGGTGTTGATGGCAACGGTGATGCCCAGCGCAACCGCGGTGCCAAGATTGGGTCGGGGACGATTGGTTTTGACAAGAGGCCCCAACAGGTATTCAACTACATATGCGCAATCGCATTGCATCCAATGCGTAGCAGGAAGAGGCGGAGGAGGATAATGATGAGGAGTATGATGAGAGGGATGCTGTGGGGGAGGAGGGGGAGGATACGAATGGCGCCAAGAAAACCGCGCAATTCCCGAAGCGCGCGCCGCCGATTCAGCTGAAGCCGATCTGACCCCTCAAGAAGCTTCCTTCATGCGAATCCACGCCATCAGCATGTTAGACCTGATGCCGCCGTCCTTCTTCTTCTGGAAGACGCCCGTGCAGAGCTTCTTGGCCTCCTCGTGCATCGCATTCGTAATCTGCTCGTTGGGGTTTTTCGCCAAGGTGTCAAACGCAACGAGTCTCCTATCAATCTCGGCGCCGCCATCGATGATCTCATGGAGCTCCCTGAGCATCTCGGTATCTTTGGTGCGGCTGTTCTTCTCGCTCATGCTGATCGTCGTCTTCCAAATGCGCGCGGCTCGATCCCACTGCGAGCGGGCGATTGACACGTTCTTGAGGGAGGCGTCCAGGAGTGTTTTGGGGATGGCCCCATCGGCAGCATCAGTCTTCGGCGAGCTCGGCGATGGCGCCACCAAGGCTCCTGGTGCCCCCGAATCGCGGGGACGCGCCTGCAAGCGCATCGAGTTCTGAAGAAACTCGCGGTCGGCTGCATCTGCCGCCCCCTCGACGTCGAGTTGGATCTTCTTCTCCACGCCTGTCATGTCGGAGAACACGTCCCTGCCAAGCTTCAGCTCGAGGCACTGTGGCCGCGGCACGTTGTGGCCCTCGCGCAGACCTTTGTGCAAGCGAGTTTCGACGGTCTTCAACCGAACCATCTCGTCGATGACTGCCTTGCCCTCTTTTGACGCGGCATTGTCGTAGGACGTCCACTTGCCCTTTACTCCCTCTTTGCTAGTCTCCGCCATGGTCTGCTGCACCTTGAAAGTCGAGCTGAGGTATTCGTTCTCATCGAACTGCTTGTTGACAACGCTCGCCACCTCAAGTGCGAAGCGGACGCGCTCGGGTTCCTTCTGTTTCTTCGTCTTCACCTCCTCCCAAGCCTGTTTCACCCATGCTGGGGTCTTTGTGGACTTGATGTTGTTCTGGAAATCGTTCTGCAGCTTCTTGGCGTTCTTCTCACCCGACGGCGGCTCGACTTCCTGGGGCGTCGGGCCGACCCCGGCGTCGGTGCCGTCAGGCGCCTCGGCCTTGGGCTGGACTGGGGCGATGGCGGGCGCCGCGGCCTTGGGCTCGGCGGGGGCGCGCGCCGCGGCCTGAGGT